GTTATTATAGGAGATTTGTAGAAGGGTTTTCTTCTCTTGCTTCTCCTATGACTAAGTTGACTCAAAAGAAGGCTAAATTTGTGTGGTCGGATGAGTGTGAGGAAAGCTTCCAAACTTTGAAAGAAAGGCTTGTGTCCGCTCCTATTTTGTCACTTCCGGATGGGTTAGAAGGTTTTGTTATTTATTGTGATGCTTCCCATATTGGTTTGGGTTGTGTGTTGATGCAAAGTGGTAAGGTTATAGCCTATGCTTCTAGGCAACTTAAGGTTCATGAAAAAAATTACCCAACCCATGATCTTGAATTGGCCGCCGTGGTTTTTGCTTTAAAGATTTGGCGTCATTATTTGTATGGGGTGCATGTTGATATCTTCACCGACCATAAGAATCTCCAATATGTGTTCACACAAAAGATCTTAACTTGAGACAAATGAGGTGGTTAGAATTCCTTAAGGATTATGATATGAGTGTTCACTATCATCCGGGGAAAGCTAATGTGGTGGCGGATGCATTTAGTAGAGTGTCCATGGGTAGCTTGGCTCATGTGGAGGAAGGTAGTAAAGAGTTGGCTAAGGAGGTCCATCGGTTGGCCAAATTGGGATTTAGGTTAGAAGGGGTGGATAGTGGAGGAGTAGTTGTTGTTGATGGTTCAAGGTCTTCCTTGGTTGATGAGGTGATAGTCAAGCAAGATCTTGATCCTTCTTTGGTAGAATTAAAGGCTTCGGTGAGTAGTGGTAAGGTGGAGGTTTTCTCCCAAGGGGGAGATGGTGCCCTTAGGTACCAAGGTAGATTATGTGTTCCTTGTGTGGATGGTGTGAGGGAAAGAATCCTTGATGAGGCTCATAATTCTTCTTATTCTATTCATCCGGGGTCAACAAAGATGTATAGAGACTTGAGGGATGTGTATTGGTGGGGCGGTATGAAGAAGGACATTGCAAAATTTGTTTCGGGTTGCCATAGTTGTCAACAAGTCAAGGCTGAACATCAAAGGCCGGGTGGCCTAACTCAAGACATTGAGATACCTACTTGGAAGTGGGAAGAAATCAACATGGATTTTGTAGTGGGCTTACCCAAGGCTAGAAGAGGCTTTGATTCGGTTTGGGTGGTGGTTGATCGGATGACAAAGTCGGCTCATTTCCTACCGGTTAAAACTACTTACGGGGCTGAAGAGTATGCCAAGTTGTACATTCATGAATTGGTAAGGTTGCATGGGATTCCTTTGTCTATCATCTCGGATCGTGGTGCCCAATTCACTTCTCACTTTTGGAAGTCATTCCAAAGGGGTCTTGGTACAAAGGTAAAGCTTAGCACGGCCTTCCACCCTCAAACGGATGGCCAAGCCGAAAGAACAATTCAAACCTTGGAGGATATGCTTAGAGCTTGTGTATTGGAGTTGAAAGGTAGTTGGGATGATCATCTTCCTTTGATTGAATTTGCATACAACAATAGTTATCATTCTAGTATCGGTATGGCTCCTTTTGAGGCACTTTATGGTAGACGGTGTAGGTCACCGGTTGGGTGGTTTGAAGTCGGAGAGGTGGCCTTGTTGGGTCCGGATCTGGTCATGGATGCTCTTGAGAAGGTAAGGATGATTAGGGAGAGGTTGAAAACAGCCCAAAGTCGTCAAAGGTCTTATGCCGATGTGAGGAGACGGGATCTTGAATTCAAAGTGGGTGATTGGGTTTATTTGAAGGTTTCTCCAATGAAAGGTGTGGTTCGTTTTGGTAAGAAGGGGAAATTAAGTCCTAGGTATGTCGGTCCTTATGAGATAATAAGAAGGGTTGGTAAAGTAGCCTATGAGTTGGGGTTGCCCAAGGAGATGGAATTAGTTCATCCGGTATTCCATGTATCAATGTTGAGGAAATGTGTTGGTGATCCTAACGCTATTGTACCTCTTGAGGTTGTGGGTGTTGTAGAAGATAATTTGACGTATGAAGAAGTCCCGGTTCAGATCTTAGATAGACAAGTTAAAAGGTTGAGGAACAAAGAAGTGGCATCCGTTAAGGTGCTTTGGAGAAATCAACAAGTGGAGAGTGCTACTTGGGAGGCCGAAGAGGACATGCAAAGACGTTATCCTTATCTATTCAACTCCACTCAAGCCTAAGGTATTAAATCAAGTCATTTGTACTCCATCGAGTCTTACATTTCAGCCTCTAAATCATTAATATGCATACATGTTTAAATTGATGAGTTATGGATGCTTTACACTAAGTTTTGAAATCTTGAAGTGATGTTTAAATAAAATTTTTGCATTCATGTTGGGGCTGATATGTTCTTACTAAGTCTTGCCTTGTACGTCTCTTCCACATTCGGGGACAAATGTTCCCAAGGGGGAGATATTGAAACGACCCCAAAAATGCCCGAAAATGTGCTTCGGAAACACCTATAATTGTAATTTCCATATATCTCAAAATCCGTTTCGTTTTTCAAAAATCTGACTTCATATTCTTGTTTAGGGGGTCAAATTGAGTAGGAAATGGGTCTAACCCAAATTTTAGAGCAACCGTATCAAAATCCAAAATTTCCAAGTGAAACCTTTTTCGAGGGTCTACTTTGGAGGGTCATATCTCCTAGCACACAAATTATTTGGTGGCCAATAATATATCCATGGAAAGCCCTTTGAGTTAGCTATCTAACGCACTTCGTTTCACCTCATTCGGAGTTTGGACGAAGAAGTTATGCCCATTTTCGTAAAATCTGTCCGGCAGAAAAAGGCAATTTCCAGTAGCTAATTTTACTGTTCACCCGCCCCATTTTTTTTTCTAAGTGTTGGAGGATTTTCTTCCAAAGGGCATATGTTATTTCCTATATAGCATTAGTTCAAATTTCATCTCTAAAACATTTCCAAAACACCTCTCCCATACTTAGACACATTTTCTCTCAAGTTCTCTCAAGAACCCTAATCCAAAACCTTCCTCAAGATTGAAGAGACTCTTGTTCCAAGTTGCAAGCTTCCATTGAAGACACTCTGAAGACCTTCATAAGAACTCAAGGTATGTGGTGTTGAACTCATGGGTCCTTCCACCCATAGTGCCTAGACTCTATTCTACTCACTAATTCATGGTTTAAGTTAAGATTCATATATTAGTCTTGTTCTTTGTAATAATTTCCTACACATTGAATTTTAAACATGAAAAGTGATGCTTTTAGGAATGTTGTGACCCTAGAACTTGAACCTAAATTTGGAATGGATGTGGAGATTTTCATGTGGTATTGTGGGTGTTAAAAAGGTGTTGTTGTAGGTTGTTCATTGGTTTGGCTGCATAATTACTACCCTATTTCCCATGCTCTTTGATTCCATTACATGCCTTCAAGGTGTTTGACAAAATGTCCAACTATGGAGAATTGATAAATTGATGCTTTAAAGCTTGAGTTATGAGATATATGGAACTCCAAAGATGTGTTGATGACAAACTAAGCTTGTGTATATGTTCATTCCATACATGAGATTGCATTAGAGCCTAATGAGAATTTCCTATATAAAGTGTTGCATGACCATGCCCGGTCCGGGGGAAAAGAACCGGACAACCATGTGAGAGGTTTATATCTCACCACCTAGGATGCTTGGGGTGTGACCAACATCAACCATGTGAGAGGTTTATATCTCACCACCTAGGATGCTTGGGGTGTGACCAACATCAACCATGTGAGGGGTTTATACCTTGCCACCAGGGTGTCCGGGTGTGAACGGCATCCCCCATCCTAAGTTGGGGTTATAGATTGGTTGGATCATGCATACACATATGATATCTACTATTAGTATAGATTTACTTAAACATGTTTTGACTTCACTTTGATCATGCATCCTCATATTGTTATTCATAATGCCTATGAAACTATTTCTTGTATTTTGATTGTGTCCTTGTTTATTATTGTGTTGCACCCCGCATACTTAGTACATTCCAAGTACTAACGCATATTTTGCCTACATGATGTCACCATGTAGGGACCGGAGCTACTCTTGATCCTTCTCTCCATTCACGTGGCTAGTACGACGCTTATCCGAGTTTGTTGGTGAGTCCTCAATAATTCGAGGGCTATGTTATGTTTCTTACCCCTATGTTTTGAGACTTTAGCTTGCAATTGTATTTTAACTATGAGGGGAGCCGGTAATATGTCATGGCCCCGTCTTATCTATGTATGTAGAGGTGTGCGTTGGACAAGTATTTTGTAAACGAACTTGACTCTTATTCTATGATGTCATTTTGAAATGGTTTGCCTTAGTCCCTATTTCCCGTTAATTAATGTTGAATGCACTTCCGCGACCGATGAAGTGTGATGACAAGTTTGAGAGGCTTGTTTGGGGTTCCTTCGGGTTCCTCATTCGCCATGTCACGTCTAGGCCCTAGGCTTGGGTCGTGACAGTGACGGAGGTTAGGAGTTTTGTGGGACTCGCTAGCTATTATCGTCGATTTGTTGAGAATTTTGCTTCAATTGCTACTCACTTGACCAATTTGACCAAAAATGAGATACCATTTGAATGGACTGAAAAATGTGAGGAGAGCTTTCAAAAGCTTAAGACTTTTTTTACCACAACACCTATCCTAGCATTACCAGTGGAAGGTAAGGATTTTATAGTTTATTGTGATGCTTCTCATTCTGGATTGGGTGTTGTGTTAATGCAGGAGAAGAATGTTATAGCCTATGTGTCGTGCCAGATGAAGGTACATGAGAGAAATTATCCAACCCATGATTTGGAGTTGGCGGCGGTAGTATTTGCTCTTAAGATCTGGCGGCATTATCTTTATGGTGTTAAGTGTGAAGTGTTTGTTGATCATCGTAGTTTGCAGCATGTGTTCACTCAAAAGAATCTGAGTTTGAGACAATGAAAATGGATGGAGTTACTCAAGGATTATGATGTGACCATTCAATATCATCCGGGTAAGGCTAATATTGTGGAAGACGCTCTGAGTTGAAAAGCGGTAAGTATGGGTAGTTTAGCTTACTTGAGTGTAACCAAGCGACCTTTGGCCAAAGAAATTCAGACCATAGAGTCTAAGTTCATGCAGTTGGGCATCTCTGAAAGATGCAGGGTGTTAGCTAGCATTGAGGTTAAGGCCACATTCATTGAGGAAATCAAGGACAAACAATTTGATGATGAAAATTTGAACGAGCTCAAGGAATGGATGGCGAATGGTAAGGCACAAGAGGCCACTCTTGATGCGGATGGTGTACTCAGTGTAAATTAGAGGATTTATGTTCCTCTAGTTGATGGATTGATTCAAAAATTGCTGGCAGCATCTCATGGTTCGCGATATTCTATTCATCCGGGTGTGACCAAGTTGTATAGAGATTTGAAACAAATTTATTGGTGGTTGGGCATGAAGAAAGACATAGTGGAGTTTGTGGCGAAGTGTCAAAATTTCCAACAAGTGAAATAGGAGCATCAAAGGGTTGCAGGTTTACTTCAGAAAATGCTATTCCGGAATAGAAGTGGGAAAGACTAGCTATGGATTTTGTTGTTGGTCTTCCCAAGAAATTGGGGAAATTTGATTCTATTTGGGTAGTGGTTGATAGATTGACTAAGTTAGAACATTTCATTCCGGTAAGAATAGATTATAACGCTGAACAATTGGCTAAGGTGTATGTGAAAGAGATAGTGAGGTTGCATGGGGTTCCTCTTTCTATCATCTCAGATCGTGGTACCCAATTCACTTCAAAGTTTTGGAGGAAATTGCATGATGAATTGGGCACTCAACTCACTTTTAGAACAGCCTTTCATCCACAGATGGATGGACAATCTGAGAGGATTATTCAAGTATTGGAAGACATGTTGAGGGCATGTGTGATTGATATTGGAAGGTATTGGGATAAATTCATACCTTTGTATGAGTTCTCCTATAATAATAGTTATCACTCCAACATTGACATCGCACCATTTGAGGCATTATATGGGAGGGGATGTAGGTCACTCATAGGTTGGTTCAAGGCTGGAGATGTGAAACCTTTGGAGGTTGATTTAGTGAAGGATGCTTAAGATAAGGTGAGGAGTATTCAAGCTAAACTTCTAGCAGCCCAGAGTAAACAGAAGAAGTATGCGGATAATAAGGTAAGAGATATGAAATTTCAGACTGGTGAGAACGTTCTTCTTAAGGTATCACCCATGAAAGGGGTGATGAAATTTGGTAAGAAGGGCAAGTTAAGTCCGCAATATATTGGTCCCTTTGAAGTTCTTGAATATGTAGGGATGGTGGAGTATATATTGGCTCTACCCCCTAATCTATTCAGTGTTCATTCGGTATTTCATGTGTCTATATTGAAGAGATATCATGGTGACGGAGATTACATCATTAAGTGGGACACAATTGTGCTAGATAATGACCTCCAATATGAGGAGGAACTGATTGCTATTCTTGATCGTGATGTGCATAAGTTGAGGACCAAGGATATTAAGTCCGTGACAATTCAATGGAAGAATCGTCCTGTTGAGGCAGCTACTTGGGAAATCGAGAGGGACATGCGAGACAAGTATCCCAAATTGTTCGTCGAATCATGTACTACTTCATTCTTTCCTTAGCCTACTTTTCCAAAGTTTGTCACTTGGGGACGAGTGATGGGTAAATTGGTATCTATTGTAATGACTGGGTTCCGTTGTTAGAGAAATGCCAACGGGGAAAAGTTTAGGGCTGGAAAAACTTTTTCGTAGTATTTGTATTTTCCCAACCTTATCTAGATTTAGACGAAATTGGAGTCCTTGAAGTGTGAGGAAATCTGGTAACAATCGGGTGAATTATTTTTTAGTTTGATTGCATGAGTAGTTAGATAACATGTGAAGGAAACCGTACCACTTTCCGAAATTGAATTTGCGTGAGTAGATCTCCAAGAATCAATCTTAGAGTGAAGAGTATTTTATGAGCCTCGTGGTTAGAAGTGTGTTGTGGAATGGGGGTTTGGAATTCTTTAAAATAACATTTTGTTTTGTTTTTGCCGCTTTGTCGCTGGGTTGGGCCGCTATGGCGGAGCCTCTACAGTAGGATGTGGGGCACTGTGGCGGGTACAACAAGACTTAAAATTGAAGATGAAAGACAAATAGTGCACTGGTTCAAGAATGCCACTTTAGGGGGCACTTTGGTCGCTCTAACACCGTAGCTACAGCGGGGTGAGGGTCGTTGTGGCGGGCCAGACGCGACTTAATGTCGTTAATAAACCACTAAACAAACTTATTTGGCACTTTTCAACTTTTAGAGCTAAGGAACGACCCCCAGGCGATTTCTACTCATTTTGCACCTTTCTTGAGGCTAAAAGTAAGATTTTCACTCCCCGAATCCATTTTTCGATTCGTAAATGTAATAAAATGGGTGAATATTGATTGGGGAGGGTTTTGTTACATATTCTATGGTGGAAACAACCCTAAATTGGTTAGTTGGGATTGTGGGTTTGATCTAGGGTTCATAGAATTGTTATAGTTTTAGGTAATTAGTGATTGTTTGTTGATTCCTGTGTTATTGTGATTGTTTGTAGACCAAGAATAACCAGAACGAATCCAGAAAGGGAAGGATCAAGTTTCTTAGGGTTTCAAGCTTGTTTCGAGATAGGTAATGGTTGTGATTCTATGATTGTGTGATGTATGCTTGTTCTTGCTTCATTATGATACTTGTATATGCATGAATGTTGCAATGTTGATCACACTTATTGCAAATGAGATAGATGAAATATCATTGCCATGAAATCATGACTTAAATGTATGATCTTGATGATGTACTTGTGTTTGTGATTGAGGTGTGTGAATGGGATCGGATTGCCACGTTCTGGCATAACTAACTTGGATCGGATTGCCACGTTTCGACATAATTATTGGATCGAATTGCCACGTTTCGACATAATTATTGGATCGAATTGCCACGTTCCGTCATAAATGTGGGTATCCGCCTTAACCAAAATAAAGACCATGCGAGCTATAACATGGAACCCCGGTGTTTCCCACAACGAAAAGGGTTGTCCTACTTTCAAAGGTAGAACCATGAACCTGAGATAAAATGAATCTACTAGAAAATGTCTATCTAGACAATCATCCTATTGAGGCACATAGGTAAGGGATAATGAGATTGTTACTAGAAACCCAACCTCAACTCGGGAGAGCTTCCATCTCAAATATCTCTTGGTGCTAAGCATAAATCCCACAGAGTAGTTATTAATCTTAACTTGTGTTATCTTTAAAAGAAATGGGTAGTCGCCACCTGTTTTATCATAGGATAGCTCCATAGACCTGCGTGAGAAAAAACTTGACCGTCCATGATCTTTTCATAATAGCTTTTAAGGCCCATAGTAATGCACTTCATGCTAGAGATGCCCCTAATACTAATAAAAATAGTTTTAAAATCGTGACCTATAATCATTGATGGCATATCTGGATACCATACTAATCAAGACCTAATTTAGGAAAATAACCCAAAAATCATTGAGGGAAAATCTAGATGTCATTCATATCATGTGGCTAAAGCTTCATAGAACGTATCATCTATAAGCTTTCTGGAGTCCTAAACATACTTTCATGAACATGCATTCTTTTCATTCATCATATTTTAAAAGTCAAAGCATCTTCAAATTCATTTATATCAATTTCATAAAGAGAAGGCATGAATATTTTCATAAATTAATCTTTCATAGTTCAAGACCCACATTGTATCAACATAGCTTAAAAAACATTGGTTCTGCATGGGTTCATAGGAAATCAACTTAAAGATATGCAATTACTTTCATGCATAAGAGTTCATCCATCAATCAAATAAGCCAACACTAAAAGGAACCCATGACATGGAAGAAAACCCTAACTTAAATTGGAGATTTTTAACTTGAAAATTGGAGAATTTAGGAACTCCACGAAGGAAAGGGCACCATGAATGAAATCTAGCGTACCTTGATCCCAAAAGCTTGGAAGCAATGGAGGATTAGGAGGCTTGATCTTCAAACCCTAGATTTCTTCTTCAACTTCTAGAGAGAGAAATATTTGATAGGAAGAGCTTTATCTTCTTTTGGAAATTTAAGAGAATGAATTGAGTTTGGGTGATTTGAGGGTTTCAAATCATTATAGAGGGCTTTGGGTAGAAGGAAAAATGACATAGTATTTAGTTAAAACAATTGGGAAAAGACCCAAAAGTCCTTGACTTAAAAATGCTGAATTGGCATCAAAGAGGCCTTAACGTCCCGTCATGCACTACCACGGCCCGTCCAACGGGTTGTGAAGATTTTATGTCTGACAGAGCTTCACTATTTTTGGTATAACTTTTTACTCTGAGCTTGAAATTAGGTAAACTCGGTGGTGTTCGAAAGAGGACTGAGAGATTTTTAATTTGATAGGTCATGGGCCACCTAATTAGTTTTGTGCTAAAATATATTATCGTTCGAAGTTGACCCTAAATTATAAGTCTAATGAAAACCCTTCCTAGATGACTTCACGGTCTGTGTCGGGGATTGACAAACCGTTGTGACGCCCATGGCCCTTGACCTGTGGCTAGGGGAGAAACCCTACTGACTTGACCCACTTGACGACCACTTGTATGGCCTGTCTAGGGGTCCGTGGGAGGGAACTTTCTTGGGGTAGGTTCTGCCTTCTTGTCATGAGCCCCATAACGGATCTTGGTCCCCTTCACAGTCCGTCTATGGCTCCGTGAAGGATCCCTTGGTCCATTTTTCGGTTCTTGACAAGCCTGCTAAAACAATTCCTGGCCTTTCTTGAATTTGAGGTGTTAGAATATCTCCCCCTAGGGAACATTCGTCCTCGAATGGAACTCAACCTAGCACGAGAATAATAGGAGAGAAACTAATAACCCAATCATTAAAGCAACTTCATCAAAAAATGCACATAACCAAGGAGGAACCTCGACTCCAAGCTAAAAATATTCAAAACAACATATGGAAGATAAGAACTAGACCTAGCAACCCAACATGAATGCAATCACATAAATGCACATATCCGAGGAGGAAACTTCATCTCCAAGCTAAAGCATGTTCAAACAATCTTTTCATAAAGACTATATGCAACTCATACTCAAATGTACATAATCACGAGACAATCAATCAATCTAAATCATATCTTTGGAAAAATCAAAATTTTCATGAGCATGTACACACGAGGAAACATAAGAATGACTAAAACGCACAACTCCTAAAGAGCGAACCATGAGGGGCTGAAGACTTCAAACTAGACTTGAAGATAATGGAAAGAGATAGGGATACTATGAAGTCACATCGCCTCCAAAATTTCATCCACCAAACCATAACAAGGAACTCTTCCAAAACCAACATACTTCTACACACATACCAATTATAAAGCACACTATCTCCCCCATGGGAGCAAACCCCACTAGTATTTTCAAATCCATTTCCCTCAATACAACCATAGCACCAATGTATTAACAACCACTAAACTATTGATAAGAGTAAACTCTTAAGAAGTTTCAACAAGGATTTCAAGGACTACTCCAAACACAATCTCCATACATGGAGTCTTACCATATCAAATGAACACTCAATATCAAGAAATGCATAGCCACTAGCTAAAAGACCTTAACTTACCAATTAACACGTCCAGGGAACCCTCGTGATCTTGTTGAGTCGGAAGAGCATAAAACCTATCTTTTTTCAGACCATTAATAGAACCGGAGGAAGGGTAGGGTTGAGCCCGTCGAAGATTATCTCTCTCATTCCTAGAAATTGAAGGACAATTCCTTATCTTGTGATCTATTTCCACACACCTAAAGCACCCATTTGAACCGGCTAGACACTCACCCTTCTGTCTTCTCCCACACTCCTGACACTCGGGGCACATTTGCTCACTACTACCCTTACCTTGGAAACGATTACCTCCATCAAACCTTTAATGTGAAGAATCACCATCACCCCTTCTTTCCCTCTTTGAATCCCTAGTTTTCTCCTTACGCTTTTCTTCTTCTATTTGTTGGGCATGCACCATAAAATGGGAGACGTCCATCTCTTTAACAAGCACGGAGGTTATGCATTCTTTGACCACTAAGGCGGAAGCAGCCGACACAAACTAACTCATCCTTGCCCTTGGATCGGCAACCATAGTTGGAGCATATTTACATAATTGTGTGAATTTCAAAGCATACGCCTTCACACTAATATCTCCTTGGCAAAGGTTAATGAATTGGAGCACCTTTGCCTTTCTTATCTCCAGGGGAAAGAACCTTTCAAGAAAAACAACATTAAATTTCTGCCAATCAAAAAGACCCTTATCTAGCCACCCTCTTGTCTTTCCATTGGTTGAACCAAACATGAGCAACACCCTTAAGTTGATAAGAGGCCAATTCTGCCTTTTCCACCAACGTCACTCCTATGATCATCAACAACTTATACACCTCATCAATTAAATCTTGAGGATCTTCCTCAATCTTAGACCTATGAAATTTCTAAGGATTCATTCTAAAAAAGTCCCTCATCCTTGTTGCTGTCGTATCCACCCTTAGGTTCACGTGAGCCACAACCTCTCTATTTGCTTGAAACATCATAGTTTACGCCAATACATGAAATGCAGCTGAAAACTCATCATTAGCCACT